ATAGGGGGGGAATGCATCGACATGGAATCGGCGATACATCGCCAATAGATCGGCGATCGGCCCCCGAAAGTGAACCCGCACCTTCCTGGGCAGGTTCGGGCTATCGGCCCCCTATCGGCGATCAATGGGCGATTGGGGGTCGATGCATCCCCCCCTATGCCCGTCCCCCCCATCGTTGCCCCTGAAATAGAGAGAGTCTGTTTCCCCTCGGAGAGAGCGCGTTTCACGGACGCTCGCCTTGGGAACTTTCGGCGGCGCGTTTCGAAGTGGGGGGTAGGCCGCCCCCCCAAACACTCGGCGCCGTCAATCAAAAACAAGGGGGACTCCCCTCCCCCCCACCCCTCCCGAACACCACCCCGCCCAAGGCGGGGAGGGAATCCCCCCCCCCCCTCGGCGCCGGCGCCGGCGCCGGCGCCGCCAGCAGCGCCGACGGCGGGGGGGGACGGGGGGGGGCGGTTCAACCCCCCCCCTGGCGCCGGCGCCGGCGCTAGCGGCGGCCAGCAGCGCCGGCGCTGGCGCCGGCGACGGCGGGGACGCAACGACAATTACCACAACTACACCACCACCACCATTACCACCACACCGCCCAACCCCACCACCACCACACCACCACGCAACCACCACCACCACCACAGCCACCACCACCACCACAACCACTACCACAACTTACCATCACCACCACCACCACGACAAAATCCCACCACCACTACCACCACCACCACCACCAGAATCTACCACACCACCACCACCGCCACAACCACCACCACTACCAGCAGCACAACCCACCACCACCACCGACCACCACACCAACACCACCACCGCCACCACCGCCAACAACAGCACCACCTCCATAAACCACCGCCACCACCACAACCCACCACCACCACCACAAACCACCACCACACCACCACCACAGCCACCACCACCACCACAACAACACACCACCGCCACCACCACCACCACCATAAACCACCACCACACAACCACCAAACCACCAAACACCCACCACCACCACCACCACCACCCACCACCACAACCACCACCACCACAACAAACCACCAAACTACCACCTCCACAACCACCACCACCGCCACCACCACCACTACAACCACCACCACAACCCACCACCGCCAACACCACCGTTGTCCTCGTGGACGCTCCCCGCCATCGTAGTCTTTGCGAAGCCCCTCCCTACCCTCCCCAAGGGGGGGGGAGCAGATACGCATCCCCCGGTCGACCCTCTCCTTCACAATTACTCAATATGAATATACTCTCCCTCTTCCCCTGATGGCGTCCGGGTGATGGCCGCGCACCCTCCGCGTACTGTTTTTTTACACACAGGATGCCCGGGGAATCCCGGGAAACGATTCTCGCTGAGGCGCCGGCGTCATTTTTTCCCAAAATGCTGCTCTCGTTGAGGCGCCGGCGTCATTTCTGCTCCCGAATCGTTCCGAATCGTGCTCCCGCTGCAGCGTGGGCCTCCGTCGTGTCAGGATGGCGTTCTCGCCCCAGCGCGGGCCTTTTTCTCGCGCGCCCATCCGCCCGCCACCACCGCGCCGCACCGCCACCACCACCACCACCACCACCACCACCACCACCACCACCACCACCACCCACCCACCACCAGCACCAGCACCACACCACCACCACCAGCACCACCCACCACCACACCACCACCCACCACCACCACCACCACCACCACCCACCACCACCACCACCACCACCACCACCACACCACCACCACCACCACCACCACCACCACACACCACGCACACACGCACGCACGCACGCACGCACCACCACCCACTACGCACGCGCGCGCGGAGCCACAGGTCCGCTACGACACGCGTCCGCGGATAGAGAAAATCAGCGCCATGGTAAGGGATGGGAGGGAGGGGTAGGACGTCAGATATGACGCGAGCGCACCTAGCTTGTCCTCTCCCCCTCCCCCTCCTCCCCCTCCCCTCTCTCTTCCTCCTCTCCTCCTCCTCCTCTTTCTCCTCCTCCTCATCCTCCTCCTTCTCCTCCTCCTCCTCCTCCTCCTCCCTCCTCCTCCCTCCCTCCTCCTCCTCCTCCTCCTCCTCCTCCTCCTCCTCCTCCTCCTCTTCCTCCCCACTCCTCTCTTCCTCCTCCTCTCCTCCTCCTCCTCTTTCTCCTCCTCCTTCTCCTCCTCCTTTCCCCCTCCTCCTCCTCCTCCTCCTCCTCCTCCTCCTCCTCCTCCTCCTCCTCATCCTCCCTCCTCCTTCTCCTCCTCCCTCCTCCTCTTCCTCCTCTCCTCCTCCTCCTCCTCCTCCTCCTCCTCTCCTCCTCCTCTTCCTCCTCCTCCTCTTCCTCCTCCTCTTCCTCCTCCTCCTCCTCCTCCCCTTCCTCCTCCTCCTCCTCCTGCGCCTCCTCCTCCGCCACGTCTTCGTTTACCTCCGCCGTCTTATCACGCATCCCATCACCCTCGAGGGCCGAGGTATCCTGGTTCGGCGGCATTTGCCGTAAGGCCTTAGCAATAGCATTCACGCCTTGGATCCGCGCGCAATCGTCTTAAAACATCCAACGGTCCGTCGGGTGGTGTCGCTTTCAACATGTGGCTCTAGCCTATTCGCCGCGCGAAATTGTCTGAACAAATTCACACCGTTACGTACACGGACGAAGGACCCTTCCATTGCAGTCTTCAATCAGACCTCGCACAAGAGCCCTGAAGAAGCCTTCTGGTTCCGCGTCCGCCACACTGCGTTGAGCGATTGGATGCGGAACCCGCTGGCAATCGTCAGGCACCGCTTGGCGCATGGCAGCATGGCATCTGCGAGGCCTGCAACTCATGTTCTTCTCGGCGGCGAGCCAGGGAGGGAAGTCAGAAAGGGTAGGCATTCCCAGAAGGCGCGGAAGTTCCACAGCCTTCTGGGAAGATCCCCAAGCTTCCTCTGAAGACACCATAAACCTTTCAAAAGGCCAGAAGGCCTTCTGAGAGGGCCTCCTCAGAGGGCCTTCTCAGAAGGCCTTCTGAGCACAGACCCGCCGCCTTCTGAGATGGCCTTCTCCTCACTTCCCCGCCTCGGTCGCCGCCGAACTTGTCTTGGGTCAGATCTCGGGTCTCCGGCGGCCGTTCGGGACGATCCGGTCCCCCCCGGAACGCTCTCGGCGAGGCGCAGCTGCTGGCAAGCATCCCGAGGCTGGAGAAGCCGACGAGTACCGCTGGAAACGCCCGAAAACCTCGAACCTCGAAGTTTCGAACACTCGAGCCTCGACGTTCGAACCTCGAGCCTCGAAGGGCCTCGCTCGCCGCCGACCTCTGTCAGTCAAGTTGCCGCTTGACTATTTCCCCGTGGCACCGCGCCTCAAAACTCCACGGCTTCTCTCTGCGGGGCGAAGCGATGCCTGGAGGCCGCGGCCCTGCGCCGCCCCGAGCGGCGTCCGCAGCGCGAGACTCACGGGTGGTGTTCCGTTGTGTGCTCGGGAGGCCCTGTACGAACGGCAACACTGCTTCTGTTGTTCGTCATCTTGCATACGTGCTCGAGACCATACTTGTCCTGGCCGATCGTTGGTTGAACAACAAGTGTTGCTGCTGTTGTCGGGGTTGTTCTTGTTAGTGGGTTTGTTGTTGTTGCTGTGGTTGTTGCTGCAGTTGGTGTGGTAGTGGTTGTTGTTCGTGTTGTTGTTGTTGTTGTTGTTGCTGTCGTTGTTGTTGTTGTTGATGTTGTTGTTTTGTTTGTGTTGTAAGTGTTGTTGTAAAGGTTGTAATGGTTTTCGTTGCTTGTATACATGGATGAACAACTCTGTCTTGAAATGCTTCGAGGACCACTGGTTTCCGAAGAATTTCGACACGCGCGCGTGGCGGCGCGCGCGTGGCGGCGCGCGTGTGGCCAACCTGGCATTCCTTGATACGGGTTCGTGCACTGGGAGCCATGCTGGAGCAGTGCGGATGCGCTGCGAGGTGAGACAGCCTGGCATTCCTTGATACGGGTTCGTGCACTGGGAGCCATGCTGGAGCAGTGCGGATGCGCTGCGAGGTGAGATGATAATGCGGGTTAGGGACCATATTAGGGGACTAAACAATGACAGAACCACAAAAAACTCGCAAGTTCGCGCGGATTTCTCGGATCCGCGCTGGACCCCCTCCAGCGGCGCCTCCGGCGCCGCCCCTGGAGCGCTAGGGAGGTCAAGCGCTGATCAGAGAAATCCGCGCGGACCTCCGAGTTTTATGTTTATGTCATGGTTTGTTCCCCTAGTGTTGTCTAAATCCACAGGGATGCTATAGCAAGTGCGCGAAGGCAGTACATGTGCAGGCTTGTGAACAAAAGACATGACAACTTGGCTACTGCTACGTCGTATTGCTTGCACCTTTCGTGTTTGGTACGGCTTCGAGATTGGCACGCGCGTGGCCTTCGTGGAAGTTTACAACGACGCTCTATTGGACAACAAAGCTCTCGAGATAATTGAGTGCGCGCGCATGGTACCTTTGACAAGGATGAAAGGGGTAGATGCTGGCTGTGCTGGGATGGAATGACTGGAAAGTGCGCCATGACGCAGAATCATATGCAATTCGCATTGTACCAGAAGTTGCCTCGATCCTTCTCCTTGACAGGCGAATCTACGCTGTACCAGCTGGACGCGGCCTCCAAGCGGCCGCGGGCGGCAACGTGGGGAGACCGCACACGCCCCACCCACCGCGCGAGGCGGCCACGAGGAGGCCACGACGACGCGGCCACGGGCGGCAGCGTGGCGAGACCTCGGAAAGGCCGGACGACTTGGCAGGGCGCAGGAGAAGCGGGCGCTGCTGGGGGGCTTCGGAAGCAATCGCACAGCGGCGGCGGCGGCGCGGCCGCGGCGGGCGGCGTGGCGGGCGGCGGCGCGGCCGCGGAGGGCGGCGGAGCGGCCGCGGCGCGGCGGGCGGCGGAGCGGCGGCGGCGCGGCGGCGGCGGCGCGGCGGCGCGGCGGCGCGGGCGGCGGCAGCGCGGCCGCCGTGGGAGGCGCGGCGGCGGCGGGCGGCGGCGCGGCCGCGGCGGGCGCACCCCCACAGCTTGGCCGAGCGCGGCACGGCGCGCAACCCGCGGAGCAGCAGCGCCCGGGCCGCCTCGGAGCGCCGGGGGGCGCGCTGGGAGGTTCTGACGCCTCCTCTTCCCTCCTCCTCCGTCCTTGTCCTCCTCTGCCTCCTTTTCCGCCTCCTCACTTCCCCTCCTCACTTCCCTCCTCCTCCTCCTCCTCCTCCTCCTCCTCCTCTTCCTCCTCCCTGTCCTCCTCATCCTCCTCCTCCTCCTCCTCCTCCTCCTCCTCCTCCTCCTCCCTCCTCCTCCTCCCTCCTCCTCCTCGTCCCTCTCCTCCGTCCTCCACCCTGTCTTCCTCACCCTCTTCCTCCTCCTCTCTTCCTCCTCCTCTCTTCCTCCATCCTCCTCCCCCCTCCCACGTGACTCCTGTGTCCATCCTCCTCCGCCTCATCCTCCTCCAAAATGATGGCGAGGAGGAGGGGGAGGCGGGTATCTGGCCCAAGGAGCTTCAGCTGAGGCGGAACATCAGGATGGGAAGCGGCTCAGGGTCCTTGCGTCGATCTTGAGTCGGCGGCACATCGCCGATGCATCGTCGATGTAACCCCGTGAACAAAGCCGCCTACCTCCAGCAACTTGAGGCGGCGCAAACTCTTCGAGATCCTGGCGTTGTGTGACCGTTTCGCACCAAGCGACTTCGCCCTACTTCCAGCTCAAGGGCCATCGCGGATCGATCCAGGTCGAACAATGTGCGAAACAATCTGCTCTGGGGCACCGATCGTGCACTGTTAGCGCCCCCGAATGTACTGTTGGCTGGTGCACAGACGCTGGCGGATCCAGGCGCAAACTTCAAAAGCGTCCAGCCATGTTCCTGTACCACTCTCAGCTCGGATGTTGGCAGTGACGGCGTACCCTCTCCAGGGGAAAGAAACCAGAGATATGAATTGTTGCTTCCACAGCTGGAACACACACACACGAATATCAGCCACTTTCTCTCTATCTCTCTCCCTCTCGTCTAATTCCCTCGCACTCCATGTCTCTCTCTGTCTATATGGTGTGTTGTTATCTTCTCTGGCATCTAGATATACGTATATTTATATGAATATAAATATGCGTGTATACAGCGAGTGCGCAGTGCGTTGTTTATTTATTTGTCTATATAAATATACGATTGTGTTGTTTGTCTCTCTCTATATCTCTTCGTCACACATCAGTTGCCTGTCTTTCGCGCTCTGTTTCCCAACCCTCCCTTGGTTGGGTTTTCGTTTTCCTTTTGAATGAAGCAATGGGGTCGCAGACTCCCTTCTCGTTCAACTCTCCGTTTCCTCCTCCCCCCCCGCTCTCCCCTCGGCTCTCTCCTCTCGCATCCCTCCTGGGGGCTGCGACATGTGAAAATGTCGCAGGCAAGTTGGAACCACCATCGGGAGCGGCCCGCGGCAAAGAGGAGGCGGAGGAGGAGGAGGACGAGGAGGAGGATCGGGGAGGAGAACGAGCACGCCAGCGAGGGAGGACCACACGGCAGAGGAAGAGGAAGTGAGGGAGGAACAGGTGGGCACACTGGCGAAGGATGTGAGAGCGGAACACGATGGGGAACATGCCCGCCTGGGACTAACAAGATGAACCGGACGAACAGGTCCTACCTCGAAAGGCCCAGGGGCCCCCACCCTAAAGGCCTCCCCTTGGTCGGGTACTGGTCCTTTCGACAGACGGTTCAGTTTGCCCTGTGCAGTGGCTCACTGGCCCTTGCACACGCTCCTGCTGGGTGCGGGCTTCTTCAGGCCAGCTCTGCCCTGAGAGCCGCGTCAGGGCCCTCACGTGGCCCTCCAAACGTGGCCGATGGACTTCACACCTGTTCAGAGGCCCCTTCCGCTTCCCCGATCCCCCCACGACGCTCAACGTTTGCAGCAGCGCCGCATCTCGATGCTTCTGGAAGCCTTGAAATTGCGCTTCCAGACCCCCCCCCAGGGCCCTTTGGGGGGGGGGGTTCTGGCCTATGGGCGTCCAGCCTCCTCAGAAGCCCCTTCCGCTTCTCCGCCTGCCCCACGACCCTCCACGACCCAGGTACCCGTCCAACTAGTACTCGGGGGTTGCAGCGGCCCGTTCTTAACCGTGTCAGCTACCTCGGATGACAGGGCTAGGATTTTCGCAGTGAAAGGCAAATTGCTCTGGACCAACTCAAACGTGCGCAGATTAGTCTATACGTGCCATCGTGGGTATGCTAGCGAGGCTGCTCCTAGCTTTGCACTTCTGTCCGCGGCCTTATTGCACTGGAATTGTTTCAGGCCTTTGGCGCGGCTTGTGACTACCGTGGCATGAGCCTTTACTTTTTCAATCTGGACCGCCTGTGGGCCCAGGCCGCCTCAATCCGAAACAAGGTGCGCGCCCCACTTCCATTGGCTGGCGCGCGGGTTCGAACAGCGCGTGCACCATTCCAGACCGCGAGCGAAGCCATCCACTGCACTTCTGCAATCATACCAAATCGTGAGCGCTACCATGTCCGCGTACAGTGCCATGCATACTGCGTGCAACTCTGCTCCGAAAATAATCTGCTCATCCTACGGCCGCGGCAGCGGCCCGTACACGGCGACGGTTTGTTTTCCGCTGCCGCTGACATGCGCGAAACACCACCCCGCCCGCTTGATGGCAGCGTGCCGGCCGTGCAGCAACGAGCCGTTTGCGCAGACGCCGCCCGTGATTAAACCCGGGGCCTCGCCTGGCATGGAAGCCTTGTCAGAAATGCCGAGGCCGGGGAGCTTCGTGCCGGGGTCCTGCACGACCCCTTCGTCCCCAGCGGACTTCGACGTCGTCAAGCAGCCAGAGGGGTGCTGGTGGCCCCCAACTGCTGCACTTTCTGGACGCCCAGCCTGCCTGCCGCGTGGCCTGGTCCGCGGGGGAGGAGAGAGGAGCGCGAGGAGGGGACGAAGAGGAGAGGAGAGGATGACGACGGCGACGTCGTCGTCATCTGTTGGCGTCGCCTTCGTCGTCGTCGTCGTCATCGAGGAGGGGCACGAGGCGGAGCACGCCAGCGAACAGAGGGGGGCAATGGCATACGGGTGCTGGTTGCGGGGGCGGGGCACCTTGATGTGGCCCAGCTTAAGCTCGCGGTCAGCCGCGAGCAGCCACATGTTGACCTGGGGCGGGTACCCCGCTCCGCTCTCTCCCCCTCCCCTCCTCCTCCCGCCGGGAGGGGAGGGGAAGAGGAGGAGGAGGAGGAGGAGGATGAGGAGGAGTAAGGAGGGGACGAAAGAGTAGAGGGAGGGAAGGTAGGAGGGGACGAACAAGGGAGAGAAGGAGGAGTGGGTGAGCGAGTGGTTCCCCAAACGATGCCTGACCTGCCCGCGGACCTGATGCCTCCCGAACCCCCGGGGCCCAAACCGTGCGCAGGCATAAGGAACTCAAGTCCAGCTGAGCTGAGGGAATGAATGTCAGCACCCTGCCACCCAAATGACATGGGCAGTTGCTCACCATGAGCATTCAACTCTGCTCGTCTCTGCTTGCACTCCTGGGGCGGATGCGGTTCCCGATGAGCGATCTTCGAGCTTGTCATCGATGACTGACCAATCAATCGCTGGTCCAGTGTCCACGTTATGAACAGCCAGGGATCCCTGGACCGCGTCGGCATTCTTCAGAAGCCGCGCTCCTGCCTGGCTGGCATGCGACTCCTGGCAGGCACTCGGACCGATCCATGGACGAGTTCGAGTCCATCTTCCTGTGACGGTGCGCCAGCGGCTGCCGTCGCCGCGCTCCATCTCGTCGAAGGCCAGCACCGCGGAGTCCATCGCCTCCGCGAGCACGCTCTCGAGCACTGCCGCCGCCTGCGGACTAGGCACCAGGGCCTTGATGATCGGTGCCCCCTCTGGTCGCGCCCGCCGAGACTCTCGAGCACTGCCTCCTGCAGGGTTCGAGCAGCTACGTCGCTCTCGAGGTGCCGGCGCTCCTAATCGCCACAGCGGCCGCCACGGCGAGGAACTTGCTCGCCAGAGAACGCCACGGCTCCGCAGGAACAACGCTTAGGTCGGGCATGTCCTCGTACAGGCGGATTTGGGACGACAACTTTTGAACACTTTCGCGAATATTCGAGAAACGCTCCACAGTAGTCACGGCATCGTCCCTAAACTTGCTTTGACTGTTTTAGGGGATCTTCCTCCTGCAGAGGGGCACGCCCGAGTCAACGCGGCGCCCGCCGCACGCCTGCCCGCCGTCCTGCTCGGCCGGCGGTGCGGGTGGCTCCCCCTCGCGCACGCGCGGCGCGCCCGGGAGGCCCCCAGGAGAGGAGTACCTGGGCAGAGGCGCGGCAAGCCCGCGCCAGGGCTGAGTCGGGCCCGTCCCTCCACATGAGGATGTTCGAAAACTGTCAAACAACATCTGGGGACCAATCTGTTGTTTTTTTGTTTTGCTTGTTTCTTTGTTCTCGCCATTTGGGAATCTATGATTTTCTGAATCTTCTTGATTTTTCACCCAAAATCTGCCTGCAGGGGGGCACGCCCGACCTAACGCCAGGGATGCCAGAACTCCGGGGCGCGGGACGTCAGCCCCAGGAACCCCACGAGGGAGCACCCGAGGCGGCCCAAGAGCGCTCCAAGGAGGCCCCAGGATGTTCAAGAAGACAGCCCCTGGGGCCCTGAAGACGGCACCCAAGAGGACCCCCAGAGGCAAACTCTTGATTTGGAAGTCGCCACAAGAGCACGTCGGTCGGAAGAAGACGGTAGAACGTGAAGCAGGACCGCGGATAGAGTAGATTAGGCCCTCCTAGCGAATACCACAAAATAGCAAACGCGCGTCAATCATTGAAGTAGGAAGGCGCTTGACATAGATTGGGAATCTGGAGCGCGTTTCTCCATGTTCGTCGATCATGGGCATTATGGGGGGGGGAGGGGCCAGGGGGGGAATATGATGTAACGCCTCCCCGCCGCCGTGTGCACAGCGGCAGTGCCGGGAGCGCACTGGGGGGGGGGGAGGAGGGACGTTACGTAATAAGGGGGGGGAGGGAGGGCCGGGGACTATAATGCCCGCTGTGCCCCAAGCAACAAAGAAACACGCTCCTGGAGATCCCAACAATACCTACGTTCAACGACGGGCGTGCAGCGCTCTCGCTGGTCTGGACTCCTCCAGCAGCCCACGACGGCCCAGAGGCCCCCGATCGCTCCGCACGACGGCCTAGAGGCCCCCCTCGGAGAACCTCAAGGCAGCCCAAGGGGCCCCCAAGAAGCCCCCAAGAGCCCTCCAGACGGCCCAAGCACACCCCACAGGGCGACCCAAGAAGCCCCCATAGAGAGCCTCCGAGACTGCGAGAAGACATCCAAGAGCCACCCGGAGGCCCTCTGACGGCCCCAACAGACACCCAAGAACCCCCCCCAAAAAAAACATCAATGACCTTCCAATAGGCCCTTGAGAATCGTCCCAAGAGGAACCGAGAGCGGGTAGGAGAAGGATGTCAGACATGGCACGAGCGCGCCTGGTTTGCCTCCTTCTGCTCTCCCACTTGAGCAGGGACCGAGCGTCCTGGCATTCCTGTAGTCCTACCACGACATGTTCTTAGAACCCACAGATGTTCCAAGAACAAAACAATGTTCTTAGAACAAAAGCCCGATGTGATAAAACAAGACAGACTCCGCCAGAAATGTTATAATAATATCTCGTGGAAGCCACAAAAGGTTCTTAGAACACCCCCTTCATCCCTCCATTCCTACCCCTCATCCCTCCATTCCTCCCACCTCTCCCCGGAGATCTCCGGGGGTAACGATCATCTCTCTCCCTGCTCCGCTCGGATCTGGGGCAGTATACCCAGTAACCCCGATTTTCGCCCTCCTGCTTCTGCTCCTGCGATCTCAGCGGAAGCAAAGCTCGCCATCGCTTGGACGTCCATTCCCCGTGCTTTTTGCGGCTTCGTGGGTGTATTGTTTCGCAAGGTAAAACAATACTCCTCGACGGTCCTCGCCGAGAAAAAATGCACACGTCCGAGCATCGGCGAGCGAGGGGGGGAAGTGGGAAGGGGGTGGGCCTTCTCAGAAGGCTCGAATGTCCCCGGCCCTTCTGCGAAGCCTCCTCAAACCTCCCCCGAAGACACAACAAAAAACCTCCCAGAAGGTGCGGTGGGCTTCTGAGAGGTGCTGCCGCCTCCTGAGAAGGCCTTCTCTAGGGGAACGAACAATGACATAAACATTAAAACTCGGTCCGCGCAGATTTCTCGGATCGGCGCTGGAGCCCCCTGGCGGCGCCTCTGACGCCGCGCCTTGCGCGCTCCGCGTGCCAAGGAGGGGGGTCCAGCGCCGATCCGAGAAATCCGCGTGGACCTCCGAATTTTATGTTTGTCATGTTTCGCTTCCCTATTCTCGCTTCCCCCCCTCGCTCGACGCCGAATACCAGTTCTCCCTCCTCGACGGCTGCCCTCGCACCCCCCCGGGGCGGGGGAACCCTGGCCCCCGCAAGCGCGCGGACGCAACGGGGGGAGGGGGGTCGCCTCGCGGGGGTGCAGCTTCAGGGCACGCATCAGGGTCCGGCTCAGGATCCTGCCCGGCGCCCAGGACTGAGAGAGAGAGGGGGGGATTGCACGATTCGAACGGGGTCGTCGCCGGAGCGACAGCAACGACCCATGGGGGGACCGACGAAGGGACAGAAAAGCGGGACAAGGCGCGAGGCCATGAAGACACCGGAGCAGGCTCCGACCGAGGTGCCGAACAGGGGCAGGAGAAGCTGGAGAACATACAATGGGAACTGCCAAGAGGTTGAAACTGCCTTCCGCACAGGGGGCAAAAGGGACAACGAAGCAGAAACAAGGGCTCAAATTACGGCGAAACGCTCGAGGTGAAGCCGCCCGAATTGTAAAAGAAAGAAAGATGGCTGGCCGGGGCTGGGCTGCATTCACGGGCTAGCCTGGAGGGACTGGGGGAGGGGCAGTTGTTCTTTCTCTCTCTCTCTCATTCTCATGTTGCTCCCTTTCTTCCTTTCTTTTTTGTTCCCCCTCTCTCTCACACTCCTAGAAGCACGGGATCCCCTCTGGGGGAGGGCATTTTCTTGGGGGAATCGGTCTTCGGGGCTCGACGTCAGCAGGCGTGTTTGTCCTCCGAGGGCCTCTGGGCGGCTTCTGTGGAGAAACAAGAAGTTACAGATCCCGCTACTCCCCAGACCTTTCCTTGGGTGCGTTATGACCAGGATTTCGAAGCGAATCCAGAGGTGGCGAAAGGGCTCTCCCAAGAGGCCCAAACAAAAGAAAACTAAGGAAGGGTAGCGGTATGGGCACGGGCTCCCCATCGACACCCTGGCCAAGGCACGCCCTGTTCAAGAAGCATCTCCCCCTCGTGCCTCACCCCCGACCCCCTCACGTCGTGCAAAAACTAAAATTTATATAGTCGGAGAAGAAAGACATCGCTCAAGCACATGAGGTCTTCCACCGGCCAAGCCGAATAGAATACGAAGGCAGCCTCTCCCAGGATGCACGTACATCTGGCAAACACGAAGAACATCAAGGTACCCTCCCCGAACCAGCCTCAACCTCATACCTCGGTCCGACTGTATATATGTTCGGCCTCTCGGGGCCCGCGCTGGGCCCATGGACCGAGAAAGAGCTACCTGGGACGAAGAACTGGTCCTGGGGATTAGGGTCGAGACGTCCTGGATGGGGCGACGGGATCTATACACATCCACTACTCCCTGGCGGCCCATCCTGAGCTCCGCAGCGGTGTATCCAGCCAGCCCGTATAGTAAGGATGCGCGATAAGGATGCAAGGGGCTTGGACGCCCATTTCGAAGCTTTTCGAGCGGGGCGCGGCCAACTGGTCAAGGATTGCCCGAGGAGGCAAGGATGCAAGGGTACTCTTGGGAAGGTTGCCCGTCCTTACTATGCGGGTTGACTGTACGCCACGCCCCCTGGCTTGGCCAGGAGGGCGTATGCACAGCTCACGTGGCCGGGCAGCAGCGGAGATGTATATATTTCGTCGTCCTACTGGCATCCAGCCTGGGTTGGAGTACCATGTGGGACCTGCTCTAAGACAGGAACATACCGTAGACGGATCTACCCGTTCTCCGACATTGCACCGCGCCAAACGCAACGGCCACGTTGTCCATAGGCGCATTCACCCTGAAAGTGTCTATGGACGTCACAGCACCCAATGTGTCCATGGACACTTTTGGCTAGGACGTGACAGCGGTAATTATCTGGCACCGGCCCCAGATAGAGGCATTCTAGAAACAGGTAGGCTTGGTCCCCAAAAACCTAGGCAAAAACGTAAAACCTGACGCCGGTGGGGAAATCAAAAGTTACCGACACCGCTACTCCCCGGACCTCTCCCGGGGGGCGTTCTGACCAAGACCTTTCGAGGCGGATCCACGGGAGGCGACGAGGACCTCCCAGGAGGCCCCAGAAAGGGGAGCACGGTCGAAGGGTCGAGGTACGGGTACCCTTTCCTCCTCTCAGTCGGGGGCCTGGGGCATGGGTCCCTCTCTCGCGGGAGCCTGGGGCTCCCTCCGGCGGGGCGCCGTGGGGGGGGGCCTTCCTGGGCGGCGCCGCGCATACGTGCCGCCACCTGCCTGCCCTGCCTGGGTGGGGTGTGTGTGGGGGGGTGCCTGGGCTCGCGCGGCGCGGACCGCTCCGAGCTCGGGCCTCTCGACCGTGCTGAGGGAGCCTTGGTGCGCTCTGCCAGCAGAGTGCCCCCCCCCCCATCCTCTACCCAGAGGGAACAGAAAACATGCAGACGCACAACAAGTCATCGACCTCCAGGTTAGTGTGGGGAACGTGGGCGGAGTGGATGAGGAGGCGACGAGAGTCAAGAAAGTATTCACCAGTTTTGGGGAGCCCTGGGATCTGCATGCATCTGTCTGCGTGTCCTCTGGCCCCTTCACTCCCGCTGTTCGTACCAGCATGTGTGGCAGCCGCAGGGGCGGATCGACTCGTCCTCCTCCTCCCTCCTCCTCCTCTCCCTCCTCCTCCTCCTCCTCCCCCCCCACCTCCCCCCCCACCTCCTCCTCCTCCTCCTCCTCCTCCTCCTCCTCCTCTCCTCCTCCCCTCCTCCTCCTCCTCCTCCTCCTCTCCTCCTCTCCTCCTCCTCCGGGGGGGGGGGGGGAAGAGGGCTCCGACCGCGCGCGTCTTCGACGAGGCTCCCCGGCGAATGCGTGCACGCCCGCCCCTGGTGTCTGCCCGCTGTTGCCTCCTCCGATCCTCCCTCCTCCCTCCCCATCAGTCCTCGCCTCTTTCCTCGCTCCTCGCGCGGTGCCTCCACCCACCCCCCTTGGCTCCCTCCCTGTCCCCAGGAGGGGCGAGGAGAGGAGGGGGCACGGCAGGCGGGAGCCTCCGTCCTGCGCTCAGGCCAGCACAGGTTAGGCCAGGACACGAGGGGGAAGGACAGTGGCGACAGGCCCTCCTTCTCCCCCACTCCTTCGTCGTCCTCTTTGGCCTCCTCCAGGGAAGAGAATAAAGAGAGAGGGGGGGTCGATCGATTGAACGTCGGCATAGGCGTCTGGCCGTGCTCGTGTTCAGGGGTGGGGCTGGGTGGCGCGCATGGCACTTACGCTACCAGCGACACCAACACTCTGACTGAGAAACAAGTGCAGAGGCCCAACAGATGGGCAAACCACAGATGTCAAGATGCAGGGAAATGACCCCAGCCAGGCGCGAAGGTCGGCGAGGGCCTCTGCCTCTTGCGCCGCAAGAAAGGGGGGGGGGGAGGGAGGGAGGGAGCGGGGGAGCACCGAGGAAGCAGCAACGACGTCCAAGAGGGCGGAGGTGCGCCCAGCCCCCGAGGTTCCTCGTGCTGCCGCTGCGCAGGCAGAAGTCAACGTACTGATACCTGGAGGCCCAACATTGAACAGGGACCGACCGTCTCGGCTTTTCTAGAGCCCTACCACGAGATGCTCTTGGAACCCAGCAAGGTTCGAATAACAATTCGCCGGCCCAACGGGCCAGGGCGTGCTAAGATCTCCGGTAACTGGTTAACAGTATTAACAGTATTTCTAGTTCGCGCGCGCGGGGCGGCCCCTGGGGGTCCCCCGGCGAAAAGTACCCCGACCAACGCCCGGTCGCCGCCCGACCGCCGCCCGACCAAGTCTACTCAGAGATGGTTTTCCTTCTGGGTGCGGCCTCTCAGGCTCCCCAGAGCGCGCTCAGAGTGCCCCAAGAGGCCCCCAAGACTGCCCAAGAGGCCCCCGAGACGCCCAAAGAGCGCTCGAAGACGCCGAAGATGACCCCAAGACGGCCCAAAAGGCCCCCAAGACAGCCCAAGAGGCCTCCAAGACGCCCCAAGAGCCTTCCAAGAGGCCTCCGAAGAGAGCCCCAAGAGGCCAAAATCGTTGATTTTCATTGTTTTTTTCGATGTGTTTTTGTGTTCTGGCTTTTTCGGCTTCCGGACGCTCCAAGACGGCCCAAGAGGCCCCCAAGACCGCTCCAAGACGGCCCACGAGGCTCCCAAGACGGCCCCGGAACGGCCCAGGAGGGCCCCCAAGACGGCCCAAGTGCCGCCCAAGACGGACCAAGAGGCCCCAAGACGGGTCCAAGAGGGGCTCAAGAGGGGAACCGAGAACTGGAAAATCGAGCCCTCCGTCCCAGAAAGCGCCCAGGAGGCCCCAAAAAGGCCCCAAGAGGCCCCCAAGAGGCCCCCAAGACGCCCAAGAGGCGCCCAAGAGGCCCAAAAGAGGCCCCAAAACGGCCCCCAAGAGGCCCCCAAACTCGGCTAGCCCACAACGCTGCGACAATATGGGCCGGCGGAATGAGCGAAGCGATTAAATAACAATGCTCTTAGAACGTAATTCCGATGTGTTAAAACAAGACAGACTCAGCCATAAAGGTTCTAAGAACATTTCGTGCAGACCACAAAAGGTGGGCCAATCGGCGAGCCAGAACGCTTCGCCACTGCTTGACCACAGGTTTGATGAACGAAGGCGGGTGCCGTCCTGCGCCTCCCGTGACCTCCGGCCCTCCGCCAGTCTCAGGTCGGGCATGTCCTCCTACAGGCGATGTTTGGAAGACAGGCATTGTAGTTGAGCATAATTAGCCCTTTCAAAAAAGCACTAGAAATCGGCACCATGCATGTTGTAACATTTCTGAATTCTGCTCCTGTAGAGGGGCATGCCCGACTGAACGCCAGTCCTCAACCCCTCCACCTCCGAAACTTATCTTCCTCGTTGTCGTACGGGCTTTGGCTCCCTCAGCTGTTGGATTCTGGTGTGGCCTCCCTTCACGGCTTCGCAACCTTCCCTTCCGCGGTGGTGGAATGCGCCTCGTGGATTGGGGGAGTCCGTGCGGAGGCCATGCTTTTTCGAGCTCCTTCGGGAGGAGGATTGGGTGTTTCACTCGGGATTCGATTTAGTTTGTCCCTTAGCCCCTCCTGGAGAAATCAGAAGATACCGATACCGCCACTCCCCAGACCTTGCCCGGGAGTCCGTGCGGAGGCCACGCGTTTCCGAGCTCCCTCCGGAGGAGGATTGAGCTCTCCTCATGCGGCCTTTGTGCCGAGCGTTTCCTTGGGGAGTAGATTTAGTCGGTCCCTCAGTCCCTCCTGAGGAAATCAAAAGACGTCGATACCGCTACTCCACGGACATATCCCGGAGTGCGCTCTGACCAGAATTTCGAGGTGAATGCAGCGGTGGCGACGAGGGCCTCCCAGGAGGATGGAGAAGGGGAAAACAGGCGAACTGTATGGGTATGTTTTCCTCCTCTGACCTCCTCCACCTCCACATCCCCTCGTGCAACGAAACTTGTGAGCGTGGCATCGCGGGCGTGACCTTCCTCCGCTGGACTTCAGGGCTCCGCGATCCTTCTAACTAATTGCTTGTTTGCTGTCGTTGATTGGTGTCCTCTCTCTGCCCTCTTGCATCGTCTTAGTGTTTGTTTTTTTTCTCTCTCTCTCTCTCTCTCCCTCTCTCTCTCTCTCTCTTTTGTCTGTCTCTCTCTCTCTCTCTCGGCTGCACGTAAGGGTGACCCTGGGTAAGTGAGACCTTCGGTGCGCGACTCAACGGGGGACGCGGGGGGGTCAAACCCGTGCGCGCAAGCCGCTGCTACCGCTTCGCGGTCAGCGATCGGGAGACCCCATTGCATTGGGCCCGCACCGAAGATCACTTTAGCGAAAGGTCACTCTTCACGTGCAACCGATCCCTCGCTCTCTCTCTCTCTCTCTCTCCGGTGCCTCCGAAGTCCACACTCCTCCGCTCGCCCTCTCTACCACACTGGCCCTTTCTGCCACACGCAACTCTCCCCCCTTCTGTGCCCCCCTCTTCGATCTCCGCGCCTCCCAGACGGCCTTCTCCCCCACATCCTGCCCCCCCCCCTCCACGCTTCCTTTTCCCCCTCGTCCCTCCCCGCCCCCGGCGGTTCACCAGAAGCGCTTGTCCCCCTTGAACTTCTTGACCCCGCGCGTGAAGATGTAGTGGAGCCGGCGGATCCCCGCGAAGTCGCTGAGCGTCTTCCTGGGACACAGGCGCGTCTCCAAAGACGGCGCGGCCCAATCATTGGACATCGCGGCAGCGGCTGGCCGGCTTCAAGGTACGCGGCCAGGAATGCGTGGACGGCAGAAGCATACGTTTGCTGGTTCATGAGGCCCGCACGGATTCCTTGACTTGGCGCCGGACCCCCCTCCCTGGCGCGCGGAGCGCTCCAGGGGCGGCGCCGGCTGCGCCGCCAAGGATGGCCCAACGCCGATCCAAGAAACCCGTGCGGACCTCCAAGAAATTGAGCTCACAAGTATGTGTTGCTGTCTCTCCAGTCGTAGACGTCGGTCTGGAGAAGTAGGTAAATACATGAAGGTGGAGTGGGTTCAGGTCTTCCCTAAGAACAACAACACACAGCAGAACCACATCGATTCCTGTCCAGAACTACTTACTTTCACGTCCGACGAATATGTTTCTTGTGTTCCCCCAGTCATACCACGTGGCTTTTTATTTTCGGCGTTCGCTCGAGCGGGGGGGTGCGGGGGGGAGGGGGCGCAGGAAGGGGCTATAACAACGCGCGCGTCCAAGGTGGTCCTGGGAGTCGCCCCCAACAGGCACCAAGAAGGGCCCCCGAGAGGCCTCAAAGCTGCCTCCAAGAGGCCCCCGAGAGGCCTCCCATGAGACTCCAACGAGCATCCACTACGCTCCTGTGGTGCCCCCTCCAAGGAGAGCCGCCGAGCGTGCTGGGATTGCACGGAGGTGGGACATGCCGCAGGCAGCTGGATGGATCTGCCACGTCCAGGATGGTCCTTGGAGTCGCGTTTCCACTCGACGCTCTGCACTCCCTTTTCCTGTTGCCGCCCTAGGTTTAGGTCGGGCGTGTCCCCCTACAGGCGGATTTGGAGCGAACAATTAAAGCATGTAAAGTAATACCCCAAACTGGTCAAACAATACTTTAAAACATCGTCCCCAGACTATTCTCTGACCTTTATTGAACTTTCCCCCTGTAGAGGGACAGGCACGACTAAACCCTAGGTGGATCGACCGAGGTCCCAATGGAGCCGACGGGACGCCACTCCCCTTTGGTAAGGCCGTGGGAGGGGGAACGCGAATGGCCCCAACATGTGGCCCCGAAGACCCCAGCTGAAGGGCAGCGATAGGGGGGGACTGGCATAGGGGGGGATGCATCGACCTGGAATCGGCGATACATCGCCGATAGATCGGCGATAGGCCACTGATAGTGAATCCGCACCTTCCTGGGCAGGTTCGGGCTATCGGGCCCCTATCGGCGATCAATGGGCGATTGCATGTCGATGCATCCCCCCCTATGCATATCCCCCCCTACCGTTGCCCCTGACCAACGCATGCCTCGAAGAGCCCCCCAGAAGCGCTAAAGAGGTTCCGAGAGGCCCCTGCGAGGCACCCCACGAGATCCCGATCTAGCCCTCAGACTAGGCACGGTGGCTGTGAGGAGCCCAGGCGCGTCTGCCAACGCTCGGTGAGGGGGCCCAGGCCTCTGGGATCGGTGGCCATCCGTGGCCCCCCCTCTATCTGGTGGCCTCCTCCAGGTAGCCGCGCAGGGTTGTTCAGGGCCTGCTGCCGAGATGGCGCCCAGGAGTTTTGGACCTTCAACGCCGCGTCGCCCTCAAGATAGCCCTGGGGGGTCCTCGAGCGCCCAGCGGGGCCGAAGACGGCAGACAAACATATGATGTAACATATACCGTAGCGTGCTTGTCTCGGGACGCGGCGGGATCAGTGCAAGAAGGAGTCTTGAAAAGCGAGAAACGGGTCCTGGACAACAAAAAAAGGTTACGAGAAACGAGCACGCGCTGTGCAAAACCGGCAGCGGCCGCCGTTTGGCAGACGACAGTGTGCCTCAAATGGACCACGTCCACGGCCACACCGACAGCAAGTCCTGTTCCAAACGGGAAGGCGCTGCTGTGGGTCTTTGTCCACATCCTTCCCGTGCCCAATTCGGTCGCATCGAGGGAGGAGGAGGAGGAGGAGGAGGAGGAGGAGGAGGAGGAGGAGGATAAGGAGGAGGAGGAGGGGGAGGAGGAGGAGGAGGAGGAGGAGGAGGAGGAGGAGGAGGAGGAGAGAGTGAGGAAGGCTGAAGGGTGAGCAGCATATCAGGTCAATCAGAGAGCTGGCGCTGGGAACCGCCTGCCTGCGCCAGTGCAGGGCCTTGCTTCGTCTGGCGCGCAGGCACTCCAGGGCCACCTCGTAGCGGACGTAGCCAAGGTAATCCTGCCCGCCAGCACTGCTCAGGAAATTTGCGCGGAGGGGGAGCGAGGAGGAAGCCGTCGGAGGGAGGGGAGGGATGGAAGGAGGGGCGAGGAGCAGGATGAGGGAGGAAGGAGCGAGTGGGGGGCGAGGAGAACGAGGAAGAGGGAAGACGAAAAACAGCAGCAGCAGCAGCAGCAGCAGCAGCAGCAGCAGCAGCAGCAGAAGCATCAGGAAGGACCTGCTTCACGTACGTTACACAGGCGGCCTGAGCCCCCCGTGGCCTCCTCGGAGGAGAGGAAGAGGGGCTTGCGTGCGTGCCGTGCACGAGGCCGTGTGCTCGTGTGTGCGTGTGCTGCGTGAGCTGGCCCAGGCCGCGAGCTGCCCTACGCTTGACTTGCCCTACGCCGCGACGCCACGCGCGTGGCCGCAGCGCCAAAAAGTGTTTGCGTGTGGGTGCGCGTGTTTCGCGTGGGTGAACCTCGGGAGCGGCCTAACTGACCCCTAGCTAGCCGTCCCCTTCTGTGACGCCATCCTCGCCTCTCAAGCTTCCCTCCGGCCGCATACATACGTCTTTGGGCGAGGCGAGGGGGACGTCACGCAAGGGGATGGTTTGCTAGGGGTCAATTAGGTCGCCCCTCAGAAGCCGGCGCGTTCCCGCTGGGCTGCAATTTCCCGGCTGCGGCCAGCACCCTGCTCCAATCGGCCCTCTAAAGTGGAAGCCCGACCACAAGAGACCTTCCACAAGAAACCCAAGCCTGAGACCCCAGCACGTCCATTAGTTTTTGGTGTGGGAGCGTCCCGCCTTCCACAGCAGAACCATCGAAAGCCAAGAAACCCAAGGGCACCTTGGAAGCAAGCAGGGTGCTTCTTGGCATGGGTCTCCACTGTATCGACAGCCTGGCTCCATCGCGCCGCCGTGGGCGGAGCCCCGCGACGCCCCAAGAAAAAAAGACTGGCGTTGACGCGTTCCCCAGCCTAGCGCGCGAGGGCCCGCGAGAGCGCGGCCATCCTGCGGCTTGCTGGGCGTCTTGTGCAGCTGGTACTCGAAGTCCCGCCGTCGCCTGACGATGTGCCTGCCGCGCACGCCCTCCCCGAGAGGGGAGCGATGGGGCAACGGAGAAATCATACCTCGACGCGCCACCGTCAAATTTCCAGCCGCCCTGGGCATGTCCTTTCCAGCGGCAAGCGTCCCTGACGGCGAAAAAACTATGCCATACGGCAAGTTCGTGGCGTGACGATCCCGGCGTTGGTTTCGACTGCCGCGTGGATCGTTCATCCTTGAACGATCGGCGGTTTTTCGATCGCGCCATCGTTCAACATTGGCCGGTGCTGGGCCACCGGCGGCGTTCAACCTAGAGCACCCGCGCTGGGGTCGCAGCCGCGTCGACACGACACGAGCCTACAACAGCGCGCTTCGTCGGCAAAATTGCCCCAAGTTCCCGAAGCTAGGAGGCAGTTACGGGGAGGTCTTCGTCGGAAGGGTTATAAGGAGGATGAGCCATTCGGGGGCTGCTATACGCCAGATTGGGCCGCGGATTGACGAAGCCGGACTCAGCGGGAGTCAGGCAGATTCAACGGGACTTGGCATCAGGTCGGGCATGTCCTCCTACAGGCGGATTTTGGACGACAAATAAAACATACTTCGAAAATGCGCCAACATTGTAAAACATAGTGAGCAAATACTATAGTTAAACTATGTTTTGAATATTCCTCCTGTAGAGGGACATGACCAACTTAAATTTAGCAGTACTAAGGCGAATGGGGGGATAGTAAAGGGGGGGTGAGAATCAACTCGCGTAGCTGATCCCAGGACGCGCCTATGTATCGAGGGATGGGCCCGGCGGCGGGGCCGAAAGCAGCTGCATGCAGCAGATTTCGTACCCCCCCCCTTTCCCTATCCCCCCCTTTCGTTCGGCCCGATACTAAGCCGCGTTTCGGACCAGGGCGAAGCTAGGAATTGGCCACCGAAGGGGTTGCATCCGCGCCCTGCGTTTCTCCCCGCCGCCGAGCTGCCACACCGCGCTGCCTCGCCTCATGCAGTGGAGGCCCAAGCCAAGAAACACCCTGCTTGCCTCCAGGGTGCCCTGGGTGTCTTGGGCTTCGACGGCCCTTGCTATGGGGAGTGTGGCGTCCCCGCGCAAGAGAGCAGTGGACGTCCTGGTGTCTTAGGGTTGGGTTTCTTGTGGGAGGGGAGGAGGAGGAGGAGGTTTCTTGTAGACTGACCTCCACTGTATGATAATGCCGTCGCCGCCCCCATAGCCCGAGCGGCGGGCCGGCCTCGCAGCCCCCTCGGTGCTGGCACGCGCCCGCGTCGCCGGACTGGCCCGGACCATATCGGCGGCGGGCAAAAGAGAGGGCCTTCTCAGAAGGCGACGGGACCTCTCAGAAGCTCTCGCGCCTTCCGAGAAATTTTCTTGTCTTCGGGAAATGCTTCGAACACTTCTCCTGGGAGGGCCTCCTCCTGCTCATTCCCCCCCCCTCGCTCGCCGACGACTATAGGTCCGGGATCGGGCCCCATGCAGCTGGATGAGGCGGGACTGGGCGGAATCAGGCGGAAACAGAGTAGGCCCTGGAAACGACAGGGCCATTCTTTGCTGTCGGCGAAGAATGGGGATTGAGGGTTGGTGCACCCCCCTCCCTGAGCAGCCAATACCTCCCGAACAGTGCCCCTGACTAGGTCACCTGAGTTAGCGCACCGCGACCCGCGATGCGCGGTGATCATCTTCGCGCCATGACGCCCTTGCACGTGCCCCCTTGAGGGGGGCAGCTGACGCAGCCCAGACAGGGGCCCGTGATTCGCACGTGTATCTGGGGGGGTCCCGCAGAAGTATACGGCGACAGACCCTGCACGCTTCGATATTCCAAACGACGACGCCACGCGGTCCGTCAACAATCGCCCGAGACATCCTCGGGAAACGACCCGAGTCCCAAAACCACGCGGCCTCCGCGAACCCCACTGCCTCACCCGACATCGGGATCACGGCACCGAATTCTTGTGACTTCCGATCATCTTGACACCTCCCTGGTCGGGGGCGGCTAAGAGGGGGGTGATGACTAGGGTTAGGTCAGGCGTGTCCCCCTGCAGGGGGATTTTGGACGAAGAGTCAAAATACCCTAAAGTGTTAAAAAATCAAAAAAATACGAAGTGCTCCATACATCGTCCCCAGACTAATTTTCGACTATTTCTGAATATTCCCCCTGCAGAGGGACAGGCCCGACTTACGACCTGGGGGGGTGGATATCATGGCGTGGGCCATGGTATTTCCTGGGGGCGATCTACGGCCAAGACGGCAGCGCCGGAAACGCTGGGCGAGCAGACGGAGGCAAAGCTCCTCGAGGGCGAGGGGGCGCCCGACGCGCCACGCCTCGCCAGGCCGGCCCGGCTCCTCCGGCGCCAGCCTGCCCCCATTTTCGACGAGGCGGCTCTGGCAGTCCCAGCTCTGTGTCCCCCCTTTGGCCTCGAGGCCCCTTGATCGGACCCTGGGGCAACAATCAGATACCCCTCGGTCGGAAGAAGTACTTAGGCAGAGACACGACACGAGAAAGCGTTGAAACTAGATTGGGTTCCGTGAACCACCTCGGGAGGACGGGAACGGCGAAGCCACTCGATCTACAGTAGATCGGTATCTGGGAACCCAACAGTTCCTACTTGTAACGGCCAGTGAGTACTGTTCGGGAGCAACGTAGACACGCAAGGCAGGGGGGCCGAGACCTCTGGAGCCGCGCCTCGAACAAGAGTGCAGCATCGTCGGATGCCTCGGTACGAAACTCTTCGGGGACACGAGCCCATCAAGGGATGGCAGCGAGAATGATGACGAATCGCCTGGCTCACGCAACTGATTTTGCGGACGACTCCCTGCGCAGAAAGCGGACATGTATCAAGGACACCGCCTGGGCGCGAAGCTGCATCGTCGGATGCCTCGGTACGAAACTCTTCAGGGAAACGAGCCCATCGAGGGATGGCAGCGGAGGGATGACGAATCGGCGCAGGCATTTGATTTTCTGGACGACTCTCTGCGCAGAAAGCGGCCATGGATCCAGGACACCGCCTGGGCGCGGGGCCGCAACGAGCGGCATGCAGCAGATGTAATGCTCTCCCCTTTTCCGACGTCCACGCTGACTTCATAGCTGACCATCGGCATAACGCCGTGAGGTCCACAAACCCTCGGACATGATTCGATCCAAAAGGTGGTCCCAGAGTAGACGGGGGAGAGTGACAGAGGTAGATGGGGCGAACAGGTCGCATTGCATCACAGCAAGGCCGGCGACGTCCCGATTGACAGTATCATAATTCAAATCGCGCCGCTGCGCCAATTCGCATCGCCAATGCGGTGCAATCCTTCCAACCCGTTCGCACTGGCCCCATACGAGCACCCCAGGGAAAAAGGAAAAGAGTTGAGTCGTGCCAAAGCGCGCCGGTGGCCAAAAAGAATGTGCGCGTGGTAAGAAGTGGAACCACCCGTTATCACGATCATGTCAAAAACAAATCAACCGCCCGTTCCTGCACGGTACGTGAGAGGGCCGAACTGCATACGCACACGCTGACGAGCGCGCACGAGCGAGGTCCGTGCATTCCAATATCAGGACCAGGCACGACGCAACTACACCAAAAGCATGTACCTGCTGCTCCGAGGGCGACTTGATGAAATAACGCCCATTCTCGGCCCTGAAAGCCCCTGGGTGCACGCGCAACGCTAGGAGGAACAGCCATGGAGAGGCCTACAAGAACGACGAAGCCCTTCAGAACCCGAACCTCTCGCCATTTCAACGTCTACTGCATGCCACCCGCGGATGCTGCAGTAGGGGCCCGACCACAAGAAACCTTCCACAAGAAACCCAATCCTGAGACCCCAGGACGTCCATCGAATTTTGGTGTGGGAGCGCCACGATTTCCAAAGCAAAACCATCGAAACCCATGAAACCCAGGGCACCCTGGAGGCAAGCGAGGTGCTTCTTGACAACGGCCTCCACTGTACCTACCGCTACGGGCCGTGACGCAAGGAGACGCTATGGAAGCGGGGTGGCCAACATGGGCGAGCGTCGACCGTGCTTCATGGAGGAGGTTGCTCGCAAGGGGAACTGGGAGAGCATACGACGTGGCCGCCGCGAGCTAGTGGACAGACGTGCCACCATTCCTTCGACGCGACGCGGCGGTAGAGCGCAGCCGCTGGGTGCAAGACACACGCACAACCCCACGCGCAGTACGCATGCCACATACACATACACATGCACGTGTTTCCTCGTTTACTCCGACGCGGCGACGGAGACACGTACACACAAACAAGTGCCGATGACTGAATGTCGGCAGCCGTTCCTCAACACGACCTGCACGACGCTCGGACCATACACAGAGCAAGAGGGCTGCCTGATCTCTTCATCGTCGAAGATCCGTTTCCTCCTCGGCGTGGCATCTTCGCTGGATCAGTGGAGCGACGCAGCCGAGAGAAGACATGAAGGACTGCGATCGAGGATGCCGAGACCAAGCCACTCTATACAGGAGACGCGGTTTCCATCGGCGCTTAGTTGACAAGGCGTTGCCCCGAAAAGCACAATGATCGGAGGAAGCCGAGGAACATGTGACGGATGCTTGTATTAGAGATGAGGAGCATGCGTGGAGAAGAAAGACCCTGTAACCAGGCGTCTGATCTACTACCTCCGATCTCCTTCTGATAGGTCGCAACAAGACCTCATGCAAGCAAGATACTGTAAGGGAGGCCATACACTCGACTGTGCGTTGCTAGTCCCGCCAGCACTCTGTCCTGAACGTAGGTGGTCAAGCGCGCTTCCTCTTCCAATACCCTCCTTCCCTGGCGGATGGGGTCTGATCACAGCTCCGTATGAATAAACATCCCCTCCCCCACTCGACCAGCGGCGGACAAAGAACCAGTCCGATCCCCCCACATGCATCCCTGGCACAAGAAATCAGCTCCGGCGCCAGATTCGCCGATGCCCGAGACATGCCTCGGCTTGCCCAAGGATGGGGGGGCAGACAGAATTCTGCCTACCCCCCCCTCAAACTGGCCACGCCGGGACTCTCCTCGAAACTGAAGCTTCGAGGCGGATGCCCGGCGTGGCGAAGAGGGAGCTCTCCAGGACGAGCAGCGGTGTGGGTACCCTGCCATCGTCCGACATCACTGGCCCCTCCAAACTCCCGCCGCCTGCAAGGGGGTGGCCCAGCCTCCGTGGGGGGGAACCCTGCTCCAGCAGTGCCCCCCAGCCCCCTCTCTCCCAAAGAAACACCCCGCAGGTCGCGGGGGCGCGTCCCGCAGGCTCTAGGCAATTTGGCTCGAAGAGCCCCTGGGTGGCGAAACGCGCAGCCCAGTTTCCATTTCGCTTGAGACTCGATCAAAAACAAGCTCGGCGATGGGCCCTGGGACGCGTCCTGGAGACCGTTGAGGCGCGCTCGGAGGCCCTATGGGGTCCGCGCAGACTCCCCAATCGTCCCACATCCCAAGACGAAAGGTGCTGTTTTACATAAAACTTCACACGTTCGCCTTTCTGTTGGTGTTCTCGACGCCCAATAAGCTCTCAATATGGCCCCAACACGACCCAATAACTCTAGAGCCCGCCACCCTAAGATGGCTCCAACGTCCCCATGGGAGGCCTCGGAGACGCCCCCGAAACAACTCCCCTGTTGGCCTGTCGGTCTACTCCTTTCGCCCAATGGCACGTATGCCAGAACTCGTCCCCAAACCGGCATTCTCGCCTTTTCGCTTCAGATGGGCTCATGGGGCTTCAACGTGGCCCTTGGCCCAGGAGAACCCAAAGAGGGGCCGAGGAGGTCTCCAAGATGGCCCCAAGAGCATCCAAGATGGTGCACAGAGGTGAGATGTCTGCCTCCAGGTTGGCAGAGCTAATCAGGAATGGCCCTAAGAGGGTACCCGAAGGTTCCCAAGAAGGCCACAAGAGAACCCCAAGAGGGCTCCCAAAGCTTCCGAACTGACCATAAAGCAGTCCCAATATAGCTCTTGGAGCGACAGATGCGCAAAAACCTTTACGTATCTGTCTGAATCGTCGTCGTCGTCGCAATATTCCTGCCCCATCCTCCTCCTCCTCCTCCTCCTCCTCCTCCTCCTCCTCACTCGACATGGCCGCGAAGATGGCTCACTGCCTGCTCATGCTGATCCCAATGGTGTGACGTCCTCCCGTCATTGTTCTACTGCATTATCGTGCACTTACAAGGTCAAGGCAACTCGCCTGACATCTTTCATAGATGTGCTGGTAGGGATGCGCGAAACGTTATTCGAATACTTCGACTGATCTGGTTCACGTAATTGTGTGGCGCATGATGTCTCGGATGAGGTCGCGAGGGAAACAACTCTCATGAGGCTGTTCAAGAAAGATCCAAAATACTAAACCCAAGAATCAAGATCCCCACCGCGCCACTATCACAACACATCTACATCGAAACCGTGTGGAATTCGCGTCGAGTCCGTTCGGAGTCCACGCAAAACCTGCGGCGGATACAAAGTACACTGCATTTCTCAAGATATGCTAGGATGCCCCCCCACGCCCCCACGATTCCAAATATGCAGCGTGGATTGTCCTCTCCTGGGGGGGGCCGAAGAGAGGTGACTGACCCAGGGGGGAGAGGATTGATTGCCTGGAATCGACGATACGTCGCCGATAGATACAGTCGGACCTAGGACGGAAGAGCACCCCTCAAGAATGCTAGAGCCTGCGCCGGCCAAAACGCACAGAGCATCCAAGGATACCCTCCTCAGGGCGCACCCGAACGTCCAACAAGCACGGAGAACATCAGGGCACCCTCCCCGAGCCGACCTCGATCTTATTCGGGGACGCGCGAACATGGATTGGCGATCCATGGATTTGGCGCGCGGTCGCAAACTCCATGGATCGGGGGAGGTGCCCTCCCCAAAGTGCGGCCGGTGCCGCCTCGTTCGGCGGCGGAACTCCTTGATTGCCCAAGGAAACGGGACCCGTCGCTAATCCACGCCCCCATTGATCCATGCTTGCGATCGCCTGACACATACTTTGGTCCGGCTGTGCGTCGCCGACAGAGGGCGAAAAGCGCCCAACGTTCCTGGGCAGGCTGGGGCCTCTGGGCTTCGATACAACGGCGGGGATCGCGTGCGCGGCCAGGGCCCGACACTTCCCCCCCCCTCTGAGCCAGACGCCAACCCTGCCGCCACCCCTCGCTCCCGTGAGGGGCCCTTGGGCGCGAACTGGTGGGGTGCGTTCGACTGGGGGGGGGGGCGGAAAGGTGCCCCTTTCGGGCCCGAAAGGGCTCCTCGATGGGGCCCCGAAGAGTCCCTGCTCGGCAGCCCTTGCGGCCCCCCATGTATCGCCACCCCATCTCGCGGCCTCCAACCCTGATCGGGAAGGCGTAAGACTCGGGTACGGGGGACCTCACGGGGGCCATCATAAAAATGACGAGACCCAATCTGAAATTTGACGCGGGCTCCTGCTGCAGACACCCCACGAAAACGGGACCGTCGAAATCCAGGACGCGCTCGTCAAAGAACGTCGGCAAACCCGAGTTCAGGCCTGCTCCAGTCTTACGTTTCCCCGACCTGGGCCAGACCACTCCTGTCAGCACCCCTTGTTCCCTTTGAGGGTGGTCCCTGGAGGACGGGTCCCCGGAGGAAGACGGCGCCCCGAAAGAAGAACACAATTCCTGGCGGAAACTGATCCTGGACCCCGAAAATTGAATCTTGGATATTTGGTCAGGCAGATTTCACATTCAAAAAATAAAAAATGGCCAACAATAGCAGAAACAACGTCCCCCGACGATGCTTCTCCTGTAGAAGGACATGCCCGACTTAACCCTTGGAGCAACTCTTCGTCCTGAGTGGGCATTTGACGTTCTCAGAGCCTGGGGCGGGCGACAACTCGGACTCCGCGAGAAAAACCTCGGGACCTGCCTCCCTCGGGCCCCCCGTTTCCGCCATGGCGGCCATCCGTCCTGGGGTGCGTGTTGGCCAGACCCTCGAGGGGAACCCAGCCGTGGCGACGAGGAGCTTCCCGCCCCCACCTCCAAAAAAAGCACAGCACGTCCCCAGAGTACTGAGTCTCGAATGGGCGCGCCCGCAGTGGGCAACAACAATTTGAGGAGACTGCCCCCACAGCAGCTGTTGTCCCACGCCGACAACAGCCGCTGCTGGGCAGGGGACGGGTTGCCTCACATGGAAAAGGCTCGCGGCGAGCCCCACTGCGAATCCTGTTCGAAATGAGCAAGAACAATTGTGGGCCTTCTTCCCCATCCTTCCCGTACCCATGTGTCGGCGGCGAGCGAGGGGGGACGCGAGAAGGAAAAAGCCTTCTCATAAGGCGGCGGGAATTCTCAGCAACCGTCGCGCTTTCTGAGAACTTGTTGTTTCGCTGTCGGGGAAGGCTTCGACAAGTTCTCAGAAGGCCGGGGGGACTTCCAAGCATTCTTAGTAAAGTTATGCCTTCTACTTCTCACTTCCCCCTCGGGCTCGCCGCCAAGTGTGAGCGACGAAAAGGAAGGGGCCTTACGCACGATGACACGGCGACCTCACGTCGCAGCTCACGCAGGCCGCCAGCGTGGCACGCCGCGCGGAGCAGAAAACGCTCAGGCGCGACACGACACGGGAAGCCTACGCGCGAGTGTCGGTGCAGTCGAAGGGGCCCAGGGACGCGCATGAGTAAGTGCACAGAAATCCCAAGACTCCACTGATTGTTTCATAGTTGCTGGATGTTCGTCGTCCCCCCCTTCCCATATGTTCCCGTATTTTCGGGGGGATCGAAGATGAATTGCGTCTGTGTGGTTTTCCCCTCCTGCGCAGTCGACCCCGTTATCTCCGGTCGTTCATGTCGAGTGTTCCGACCAAACCGAGCGAAGACGATGCGAGCCAAGCCAAGACGGAGGCGCCTCAGGTCGTCGAGCTCTGGCACCATTTCCTGCGGGGCGCGCGACCAAGCAAATGCACGGCAGCGCCCAAGCGGGCACGGGGGGCGCATCGGATCGCAAGTGTTTTTCGGTAGGCATGCCCAGCAAGAGGATAAGCGCAAGGCTAGTTAGGTTCGCGCTTCGAACGTTGCGAAGCACGAATCACTTTGCGATCCCATGCCGCAGCCGCGGGGGGCAGACAAGGAGGACGAGGATGAGACAACAAGAATTCCCAATGGCGAATCAAGAGCTGCGAATAGTTTCTCGCCATGTCGTCAGAATAATTACCATGGGACTGAAGACGGCCAAAAATAGAGAAGATGCCCAACAACAATTTCCGTGCAGCGTCCGCTGTTGGGCAAGCGGCGCGTGTCTCCAATGGGCAACGCCCGCAGCAACAGCGACAGCGAGCCCAATCCAAACTGGACGGGAACTGCTGTCGCTCAAAAGGCCCTGGAAACGACAAGGCAATTGTTTGACCGGTTGCGGTTCCCGCACGTTCCGCCGCCGTTGCTTTTCCAGTTTCCGTTCCAAGCCCGGAGCCATTGTCTTGCCGTTCCTTTTTTCTGTCATGTGCACGCGTTGCTTTGTATTGTGAGGCTGCCTTGAGGCCTTGGCCATTGACCTTCAGCCTGGAGCCGCTCAGAATGCAGAATTGACTAGCCTAGGCATCACACATAATAGATGACCGCGAGAACGACCCCCAACCGTAGCCTGGCGCCGTTCCTGGTCGCCGTCTTGTTACCGACTCCATTTCCAAGAGACACTGCTTCGGAAACGTCAGAAAAAAAACGGCCCTGCCGCTTCCCGGGCCCGTCGGCCTCCCTCTCGCCGACATCGTGGGGTGCCCAGCTCGGGGAGAACTGCACGATGGGCGGCAGACATCCTCGATGGCCCCCATGGGGTGCACTCCCGAGTTCAGCTCCAGTTCTTCTGAGCGGCCCGATCTATCCGAGAAACAAAAAATCACTGAGTGCGAGGACGCGACTGCGAGACTCGAGGACGAGCCGGCGCGATCTCGGACCGAAATGGGCCCCGACGAGGGATGCGGAGGGGTGACGGAGGGAGGAGGGAGAGGATTTCTTGACATCATCGGCGTCGAGCCAGGGGGGGGAAAGGAGAAAGGGCGCGCCGTCTCAGAAGGCTCGAAGTCCCCCGGCCTTCAGAAGAGTTTTCTGAGCCCTCCCCGAAGATGCAGAAAACATAAGGCCAGAGGCCTTTTCAGAAGGCCAGAGGCCGTCCGAGAAGTCGCGACGCCTTCTGAGAAGGTCTCCTCCTCCTCACCTCCCCCCCCCTCGCTCGCCGCCGACATCGACCACCGAACCACACTGCAGACACCCCATCCCCGCACCAGGCAGCCTGAGCCATCGGCTTGGTGGGGTGTGGGGGTGTGGGGGGGGGGGGGGGGCAGAAGGGCAGACAAGAGGACGAGGAAAACGAAGGGGCGGGGGGAATCGGGGATGGACAGAAACCCCTTTTGAGCAAAAAGTGGTCTCATGAAAAAACGGCCTCGGGCCAGAACGTGGCGGGCGCAGGCCTGGACAACGACGGCCGCGGCGCCCTGCCGAGAACCGCAAACGGAGAATCTCCTAATCGACCATGGGCGATAATAAAGCGCCCCCCCTTCACCTCCCGAATGAGTTTTAACTCCTCATCGTCATCATCGTCACCATCAATATCATCATCACAACTTACCTTCCCCGGGAAAATCTTTGATTATCCCCGCCAGAACCGCGAACTTTCTTATCCCAGGGGGTTCATTATCGCCCGTGGTCGGTTAATCGACGTGTCAGGGCGGCGCCGGCTCCTGCATGGCCTGCTCCACATACTCCGCCATGGCGCCCGCGGCAGCCGAGCGCCCGCCAAGACGGGGCCAGGGTCGAGAGCTGGAGGGCGCCAGCGCCCGCACCTGCACCAGTCCTGGCCAGGCCCGTCCTGTCGGGTCGGGCGAAAGGGGGGGATAGAAAAGGGGGGGCTTGAGAATCAGCTCACGTAGCTGATTTTCCCGGCGTCTCCTGGCGCCGGAGGCGGCCATGTTTCGAGGAATGGGCCCCTCGGTGGGGCCGAAACCAGCTGCATGCAGATTTCGTAACCCGCCCTTTCCCGATCCCCCCCTTTCGTTCGGCCCGAACTTGTCCTGGCCAGGCCCGTCCTGGGCCATGGATGGAAGGCCAGGGCAGATTATGCCGACGCGCCTGCGGCGTGGGAAAACAAAAAGGTCGACGCGAGAAGGATCGGCCTCGGGGGGCCCTCGCCGGGCCTCGACACCATCAGAAAAGACGCGGGCTGAGAGCCCGACCTGGGCCGGGGGGGGAGCTCGGGACTTCCGCGGACCGCGTGCGAAGACTCGTGACGTCACATGGCTTGGCGAGGAAGGCGTGGCACTCATGGGTCATACGTGAAGAATCAAGACGCCTCGACGTCGCATGGGTAAAGGATCATCAAGGCTCACATGGCTTGGTGTGCCAGGAATCGGCTCTGGCGGGGAAGGCCTGTGCAACGATCCTGGGCACGCGGTGGGCCTGGCCAGGATCCGTGCAGGTGTCTGGCGGGGGCGCCCTCTGATCGAGTAGGGGGATCTGTTGGGCCTGTTTTCCACCGCCACCACCAGAAGTTGGAGGGGGGAAGGATGAGGAGGAGGAGGAAGAGGACGAAGAGGAGGAGGAGGAGGAGGAGGAGGAGGAGGAGGAGGAGGAGGACCCCCTCCCCCTCCAACTTATGGTGGTGGCGGTGGAGAACAGATCCATCAGGATCGACTGCTGGATTGATCTACCCCAAAATTGGTTTTCCCGTCGACTTTGCCCCCACAGATACGCAGAATGTTCGCAGATCGACGGAACCTTCTGCGTTTTCTGTCGTTGATCCTGCGAACGAATCAATTCTGGGGCAAATCAGTTCTGTAGTCGATCCCCTACTCGATCTGAGACAGGCCTAAGGAGGTCAGGGGAGGGGGGGGAAAACAAAAGGGCGGCCGAGACCTGCGTTCGAGAGCCACAGCCGGTGATCCCGGGAGGGGGTTCGTTCGATCAAGCGGCCACTTCCCTGAAGGCCTTCGTGTGAACGATCAGTCGGGATTCATCCGGATTGCTTCAGGGGCCAGAGGAACAGGTTAAGCGAAGCCCCACGGACGGCAAGAGTAACCCCGAAAGGCCTTTAGATCCCCCCAGTCGGGGGTATCTGGGTATTTTTCCGCGGCCTGATTGAAGAACTGGGGTTCCACCAATAAGGGGTAACTAATTTGTATTTGTCCGCGGCACCCGCCGCGCAACAGCGACGATGACAGCCACGACCACGATTGTAACTACGACTACAACGAGTAATATTACTTCTGCCTCAAGAGCGCTTCCTCCTCCTTGCATACTGCTCCTCCTCCTCCTCCTCCTCCTCCTACTCCTCCTCCCTCTCCTCCTCCTCCTCCTCCTCCTCGTGTCATTCCTGAGGAGGAGGAGGAGGTTTTAGGACCAGGCCGACTCACCGATGAGAGAAAAGGGGGGAGGCGAAAAACTAAACACCTGCTGAGGTCAGGCCTGAGAAAGGCCCGAATGAGCATTGCTAGGCCATTTTAGCACCGAAGGTCATTCCAAGACTGGTGCTGAAACTTAACCTCCGCCCGTTGCAAGCTGCATCCACGGAAGGTGCATGGCGGGCAGCAGAAATCGTTCCTGCCCGGACATCCGGAAGCTCAATGTGTCTCAAAACATGGCTGCCCAAAGAACTCTCGACCTCTGCGCAAGGGCTGGCCCATCATCATTCACCATAAGCCGTTATACTGACCGTCCTGGGGGCACAGATCTGCATCTAGATTCCCAAAATGAGGAAGACACATCTCTGTCCCAATGCAGTCGTGCAGCCTCCAACCCCCTTCGGGAGGAGATGAGGGAGGAGGAGAGAGGGAGCAAACTGTGTGGCACGCCTGACACCTGCAGTCGTAACCAACAGACAGACTTGACGCGCTGGCGCGGCACTCTGCACACAAGGCGGGGGAAAACCACCCCAGAAGCAATGGGCTGCTGTCAAGTCTGACCCGAAGTGTCGGCCGAGTGTCCCCGTAGCTTGGGAGCCGTGAGCTACTGGCAACTGCATTTTGCATCATCCAGCGACCGCGCTGAGCACAGCGAAGGCAACATAAAGAAAGGGAGGATGGAGAGGAGAAAGGGAGGACGGAGGGGGAGGAAGGGACGACACAAGAAACGGGAGGGAGGGAGGATGGGAGGGAACGAGGGAAGGCAAAATTCGCTGGCCCAACGGGCCAAGGGCGTGCTAAGATCTCCAGTAGCTGGCTAACAATACTTCTAACTCGTGCGCTCGGGGCGGCTCCGGGGGGTCCCCGGACGAACAGTACCCCCGCAATGTCCCGGCAAGGCCCCAACAAGATCCGGGGCAGGTCCCGGGCAGGTCCCAAGAGCGCTCCCAAGAGCGTTCCCAAGAGGCCTCCAAGAGAGCTCAACATGGTCCGAGACGGTCCAAGAGCGATCCAAGACGCCAGAGATTGCCTCCAGACAGCCCCAAGCGCCTTCAAGAAGCCCCAAGAGGCCTCCAGGAGATCTCCCGGGAAGGCCCACAGAGGCAGAAATTAGTGATGTTCCTACAGTTTCTGACAGTTCTTGGCGTTCTCGCCTTTTCGGCTTACCGCCCCAAGACCGCCCCAAGACGGCCCACGAAGCCTCCAAGAGAGCCCCAAGACGGCCCAAGATGGCCCCAAGACAGCCCAAGAGGCGCCCAAGACGGCACAAAAGAGCCCCAAAAGCGAACCGAAAAGTCCACCCTTCAGCCCCAAGAGGCCCCCAGGAGGCCCCAAGAGGCCCCCGAGAGGCCCCAAGGGACCCCCAAGAGGCTCCCGAAGAGGCCCCAAGAGGCTCCCGAAGAGGCCCCAAGAGGCCCCAAGAGGCCCCAAGACGGCCCCCAAGAGGCCTCAAAACTGCCTCCCGAAGGCTCCTGAGAGGCCAACCACGAGAGCCCAACCAACATCCGTGAGGCCTCTGACCCGCCACCCACCGCCTCCGAAAAATGGCAGCCGCCCAACCGCACCGTATTGACAACAACACCCCGATAAACGACAGCGGCGAGGCAATATGGGCTGGCGGGATGAGCGAAGCGATTACATAAAATGAAGGTGGGAGGGGTAGGAGGGAGGGAAAGCGAAACCTAAGGGAGGAATGAGGGATGACAAGGGGGACAGGAGGAGCGATCCCCAAACGACCCCCTGCGACCAAACTGGAGCCAGTGTGTTGAATAGGCCTCTGGACGTCGATGCGCCACAAGAAGAGAGCGCGACCTCCCGCTTCTCGCTACTCCCCCTCCCGATGAGAGCGCCAGGAAGAGGGGCGGCGCGTGAGGACGGGGGGGGGGGCCGTTAGAAGGGCAGGGGGGGCGGCAAAGGAAAATTTAAGGCGGGTGATCTTCCTCCTCTTGCTACACACCTCCTCATCCTCCTCCTGCTCCACTTCTTTTCGATATAAAATATGACTGCTCCCTGTCGCACCCTGGTGACGGTCGAAGCAAGCACGCCTAGCATTTCGCCTGAGTTCCACACCGCTTATGACCCTTAACCGAAAACATGACAACAGTTTTACAGATGGAGGGCGGGCCGCTTCCAAAATGTTGCTCTCGCCTTAGCGCCGCGCACGCTCGCCTTAAAAGAATTGCAAGAGCTTCACGGATTGATGCCGGGTGGTTTTCAGCATGTGGCTCTCGCCCCTGCGCCGCGCACACTCGCCTCAGAACAAGGCAAGAGCTTCGCGGATTGAGGGCGGGTGGTTTTCAAAATGTGGCTCTCGCCTTAGCGCCGCGCACACTCGTCTTTAAAAAAACCTTGCCAGAGCTTCAAATATTGAGGGCGGGGGGGGTTCAAACTGTGGCTCTGGCCTGAGCGCCGCGCACATTCGTCTTCAACATTGCAAGAGTTTCGTGGACTCCCATGTAACTGGTGCTTGGAAGGACTCAATATTATGAGGCGCAACAGTTACGTTCACTCGCGGTGCCCAAGTCTCAGGAATTGTATCTGACACAATTCAGGATCGTCAAGACGCAACAATCAGGGTCATCCGTGGCGTGGGCGTCGCGAGCATTGTGCTTTTGCACGCTGCATGGTCTTCAAGCGGTTCTCCACACGAGCCAGTTCCCTCAGTGGGAATGAACCCTTGTAGGTGCCTGTGAAGAGGAAGCTTTGAAGGAGAGTTGATTCCAACATCGTTGATGAGTCTTGGGTTTACACTGGTCCTCCTCCTCATCCTACTCCTACACCTCCACCTCCTCCTCCTCCTAGCAACAAACAGAAATGATCTTGCTGCTGCTCCGTTTCCCCTGCACTTCTCCTCCCCATCCTCAGGGGGGAGAAAGGAAGGCAGGGATGGAAGGGGGAGGAGATGACTGAATACCCGGAACATGCCTTCGGGACGAGCTGCGGATGCCTCCTAACAGCGTTCCGAGCGCTCTGGAGGAATCGATCTCCCTGCCCAGATCTTCCCGAAAACTTGACGTTTTGTTGATCCTGGCGCCCTTCTTCGATTTCGGCCTCTTGGGCCCATCGTCGGGCCCCCGGGGCCATCAGAACTGGGCACGGGGAGCAAACCTCTCCCCGATGAAGCGAGAGTAGATGGGGGACAGAGGATCGCGCCGCATCCTCGATGCACCACCGTTTCACCGGCGATGCATCGGCAATGCATCGGCGTGGAGAAAATCGGGCTCACAATTGAGCCGCATCGCCGATGCGTCGGCGATGCGGCGCGATCCGCCGACTCCGTCTGGGAGGCCTAGAGGGAAGGGGGTGCGCCCCGAAAACTGCCATCGCTGAGCGTTCTGGGGCTGGCGGCCCGCCCTGAGAAACAAGGGAAGCCGACACCACCACCATCAGGGAGGGACCAGCGGCGGGAGGAGCTGGGGGGGGGGGGTGGGGGGTCCCCATGGTGGTGTGCCCCCCCCTCTCCCCTCTCGCTCGAGGCATCCCCCGTAGCCCCACCTTGCCATCGCTCGGACGTCCATTCCCCGTGTATGGTTTCGGCTTCGGGCGCGCATTTGCTCCGCGAGTCAGAGCAGAATGCTCCCCGAAAGGTTCTCGGCGAGGAGCAAACAAGCACACGTCGTGAACGGCCTCGCTGGGAGGCTGGTCCCCTGGTGGTGGTGGTGTCGCTCCCGGGAAGATTTGAAAAAAGGTGGCAATGCCGCTGCTCCCCAGCAGGTCTCAACCTACACGGTGCTTTTCGTTTTCGTGTTATGTTTCGTTTTTCCTCGTTTTGCCTTCGCTTCGCCTTGAATGCAAAACAAAACGAAAAACAAAACGGCCCACGAGATGGCCGAAAACAACTTAGGTCCAGCACTGCTCCCCAGACCTCTCCAGGGGTGCGTTCTGACCAGAAGTTCGAGGCGAATCCGGCGGTGACGGCGAGGACCTCCCAGGAGGCTCAAAAAGGGGAAACAACTTGGCGGCGCGCAGAGGGGTGTATGGGGGAGTGGGGAAGGCTTCCTAGAAGGAGGCTGCTTCTGAGAAGGCGCCGGCCTCACGCTTCTAGACCAGGCCAGCGCATTCTAAGAAGCAACCTCCTTCGAATAAGCATTCCCCCCTCCCCCTACCCCCCCTCTGTGCGCGGCCGACAAACGGGCGGAGGGTAGAGGTATAGGTACCTTTTCCTCCTCCGAGCTTCTCCTTCCCTCGTGCCCCAGCGATCGCGCCGCTCTGCCCCGCGCCTCCGGCGGGCTCCGAGGACGTGCGCCGGGAGCCGCGGTCGCTCCCCGCGGGCGCTCTCTGAGGCGCGCCCTTCGCGTCCTGGGCCCGCCCATGGAGCGGAGGACCGGCCAGGGCGAGGCCACAGCCCACATGGGTAGGAGGGCAGCGTCGCGAGGCGCAGTGAGACACAACCGCGAGGAGACGGATGGGAGCGAGGAGCGGGGAGGAGTGGGCGGGGAGGAAGGAAGGACGAGGAGGAGGAGGAGGAGGAGGAGGAGAGGGAAGAAGGGCGGCGGCGACAGGGATGGAGGGGTGGA